AATAAAGCTGTCCAAAAGTTCTCATCGTGCCATCTAAGACACATTCTAATGTTAGAAATAACATTAATAGCTTTGCTGTGCTTCCATTTCATCATTCTGTCAGTTACAAAATTGCATGGATTTTACAGAAGTTTAGTTTTCAAATTGTTTTCTTGCCTATAAATAAAATCCGAGGTTCAGTTCTTAAAGATTCTATTTCTGACTTTAATTCTTGGGGAATTTATAGCATGTTATGTCAGTGGGGCTTAAGTTATATTGGTCAAACAAAAAGAGCATTAAAGTTCAGCATAAAAAGGAATGCGAATCTTGCATCTGAAAAGGTAAATCTTCAATAGCTAATTATGGTTGGAAATTCAATCACAATTTTTGATTTTGGTTCTGCTAAAGTTATTCAGAAAGCTTGTTCTGTTAGGGAATTGGATTTTCTTGAAGCTTTTCTCATTCACAAAAATTTATCCTGTTCAATCAATGACTTTAATTCCAATCCAGTCTTGCCTAATGCCTTTAAAATTCTCCTAACTTAACCCTTCATTTTTCGTTATTATTTCTGCCGACAGATGACAATATCAGCTCTTGCATTGGTCGCCTGTAGGGTATAAATATGAACGGCATTTGCTTTCTCGCTTTTGCAGAATTGTTTTGCTCTTGATGAAGGGGGACCCATTTTGTCCTGGAAATTGATTGGGATTTTATGAAATCTATGTTGAATACAAGCTTGTCGATTTGCCTGTTTTATTTTCCATTTTGGGAGTTTCTCTTGCATCTTGAAGGAGTATTACTTTTTTTTAGTAGTCACAATTTTTTTACCAAAGCATTGTGGTTCATATCAAGGCCTGCCACTTGTAACCTATGTGTTGATGGTCATTGGCAGCCAACTGATAAATTTTCCATGTGGGGTGATATAGTAAATGTATATTTATTTTTTTTTAAAATTAAAATTAACTTGAAGTAGTGCCAATTAAAAACATTGATCATCAGTTTCACTGTCACATGCTTGATGCACAGTAGCATGTTGTAAATTTAGTTACTTTAAAATTATACTGAAGTACTTTGCTGCTTGTCACTGATTGTCAACCGATATTTCACTAGTGCAATAAATTTAGAGGATAGTGCAAATTTGGTGTGGCAGAGTAAATAAATTTAGATGAATTTGAAAAATGTAATTAAACGACGAGACACCTGTGTCTATCAAAGTTTTTGGTCACTTGGGAACTAGAAGTAGGTCATCAGTGATCATAGTTGATTCTTAAATCACCAATATAGAGCAGTATGGTAAAGTTAACAAGATTGTTAAAATGAAATATAATACACTGGTAAAGTCAAATGTGTAGTCTTGGGTATACATGAAGTTATTGGTTATCAACGATTTTTGGGTGGATAGTCACCTTTTGTAGCACAGTGCACTATTTGTTGCACAGCAATAATTATTAAAATTTAAAAAAAAGTTTCATAATATAAGCACTTTTTTAAATCTCATAAAATCATTTATGAACTAATAGGTGAAAAATAATTTTTCATATAGTTTAATGGGTTCAAGTGATTAAATAGTATTTTTTTATGAAAATCAACTAAAATTTTACACCATGAATAATAAAAGCATAGGGCATCCATTATAAACTTAGAGATAATGGCTTATATTTTTGACAGTGCAGTTCAATTATTTGATTTTAATATTTAGGTGCAATGCTTTTATTTTTTTGTGGTATAAAATTGCAGATGAATATTGGGCTTTGATTATAATATACACAGTGGTACCTTGGTATACATCAGCTTTAAAATAAGTCAGTCCAACTTTGTATACGTTCTGTTTGGAGATTAAAATTTTTATTTGGTATACAACATTTGTTTGGAATATGATCCGAGTTTGATGAGTCACGACTGCATGCGCTACCCCTGTTTACCTCTTTTCAGGCAACGCTGAAACCAGTTTTCCACAAAAGTATAAAAACACATTACAGTAATCTCTAATGCCAGATAAATTGATGCTAAAAACTTTGCTGAGGAATACCATCTCAACAGAGGTCAAACAATTCTTAACAGCATTTCTGAGATATCACGAAGAAAAGTTTTCTGGATATACTTTAAGTAAAATTCAGACCTCGGCCAGGTCCAAGTATGGACCTGACAGGAGAAAAAGGATAAATAAATTTTGGTAAACTTCTATGTGCAGAATATATTTCACCAACTGAATTCTAGTGTTAAACATTATCAGAATAACAGCAATAGGATTTTTGATACTTTTCTACAATGCACTTGCTACGCATTTCGGTATCTGTGAAAGAACAGCCAAACGCATTCCAACAAAGGCATGAGCTTTTCAAATAGCTATGGATAGCTCCATCTGGGGACTATGTGTATGTGTGCATATGTAAACAAGAATAATTAAATACACACATGTATATTATTGCAATAATATTGCTGAAATGCATTGCTAGGTGCATAAAAAAAAGTACTGTTTTTTTTTTTTTTTTTTTTTTTTTTTTTTTTTTTTAATATATAAGAAAAAATAAATTCTTCTTCATAAACTCCACAGCCTGTTACAGGCCAAGGCTGTCTCTCCAAGTTTCCTCCACCTGACCCCATTTGGCGCAATAGCCCTCCATTGGTTAACTCCAGTTAACCTTAAATCCTCTTCGACATCATCTAACCATCTAATGGGTGGTGTTCCTCTTTGTCTTATTCCCTCATTTCTCAAAAAGCTTACCTTTTTGTTTGGAAATGCATCATCATCATACATAGCCCAGCCATCTGATACGAGATGCCTTTACAATACTCATAATATCAGTGTCACCATATTTCTTATATTTTCCGTATAATTCAGGTTTACAGAGAATCCTCCACATGCCATTTTGTTGTACCCATCCAAATATCTTTCTTAGAATTTTTCTTTCAAAAGTTGATATCAGGTCTTTCTCTGCTCTGTTAAGTATCCAACATTCACTTCCATAAAGGGCAACAGGCCTTAGTAAAGTTTTATATAAATTAAATTTAGTTTTTATGGTGATTAGTTTGGATTTAAGTTGTTTTTTAAGGCCGATAGTAACATCTATTAGCCATAAATATTCTATTTTTTATTTCAATTTTTATATCATTGTAACTTGTGGTCAGTGTGCCAGATATTTAAATTGTTTTACAGTTTCAAAGGTCTAATTGTTTATCTTCAAGGGAGATAAATGAACAGTTTTATTAGATACAATCATAAATTAAATTTCGTCTTTAATGATTAGGCCCATCTTCCTTGCTGTATTTTCAAGCGAGACAAATGCCTCGATCACAACTCGTTTCTATTGCCCAATGATATCAATATTCCTGGCAAAAGCCAGCAATTGAATGGTTCTGTGCAAGATGGTTCCATGTGTATTTATTCCAGGGTCTCTTATGGCCTTCTTATGGCCTTAGAGTAATATTAAATAACAGGTAGTGAGTGTCTCTGTCTTAATCCTTTCTCAGTATAAAAAGGTTCTGAAATTTTTATTCTATATGTCGCTTTTTTAAGAGTTATCCTTGTGAGGCTTACAGTTTCTTTGGGATATTAAATTCCAACATCGCTTCAAATGTTAATACTGTCTTAGGCAGCTTTAATACTAGAAAGACTGAAACTTAGTATATACCTATATTGCCCAAAAGCAGTCAAAATGACTGCATTGTGAAAGAATAACTAATGTGTAAAGAAATTGTTTAAAATTAATTTTTAATATTTTTATATTATTTAAAGTTATATAATAAGTTATTAGTAAATAGTACAATACAAATTTATGCATTGTACATTTTTTGCAAAATGAAAGTGGAAATCTTTTTATTTTTACATCTTCTGCAAACATACTTTTGACATTTTTCACATATATTATTTGTTTTGTTGTTGTGGCAAAGTCGTACTTGACAAATTTTGCGTTTGTTAGAATGGGTTGCATTTGATGATGCTGCAGTTGATCTTTGTGGGTCTTCATGTTCTGATAACTTTTTCTGTCTTGCAGCTCTGTATGCAGTGGAAAGCTGTTCTGCTAATTGAAACAAGAACTCTTTTCATTGTATTTGCATTCCTATCATTTCTTTGTAAAAGATCCAAGCATTTATAGCAGCCAAACCTAAAATATTGAAAAATATTTGGAGGGGCCATGTATGAGAACTAGCTTTTACTGTATATTTTCTGGCCATTTGATCTGTCATACTCAACTTTTGTGTCATAAAATTGAATAAATATCTGGTAAAATTTTTTTATTATTTTTATCAATTTTCACAAATTTATGCTTAGAACTTAGATCAGCTACTCTTTTATTTTGGTTTGCTTTTATGTATTGTTTATTTATTTATTTATTTGTCAAATGTCAGTTACATTGGCCGTCAGGCCATTAAACTCCTTGCTTGCCAATAGCGCTGAAATCTACAAGAAAAATTTGTCAGTGCTTCACACTCGTCCAAATGTTCTGCCATCATTGGTCGTCCACTATTACATAAAACACACAACAGTGAATCAGTTAGTCCAATGCAAAATAAATGATTCTGTAGACAGTCATGCCCCGTCAATAGTCTAAAAGATGCAACCGCAACTGTTTGTGGGTGGTCAGGAACAAAAGCTGGGTTGGTTGAGAGAACACTCCAAGGCTTGCCCTCACAAGCCCGAGTGGCAAAATCTCTAAAAATCTTTTGATATGTTAGATATGTCAGAAGCTTAATAGAATGGAGACTTGCACTCGTTTTCGGCTTTTGGAGAACCATAGTTCCCTTTTTTGCAAGCATATCAGCCATCTCATTCCTATAAATACTGCAGTGTGAAGGTACCCATTGAAAAAATATCTTGTGGGAAAGTTCTTTTATGACTTCCTGACACTGTTGAACGCATCATATCTAAATTACACTCTTGGGAAGAGGAGATGGCCTGTATTGCTGAAGTCGAATCAGACAGTACAACAGCCCTCCTGAACAAGCTCTGTCTCAATGATAATTGTTGGAGAGCTACATGAATGGCTTTCAGTTCTCCATCAAAGTGAGTGGAGTGGTTTCTACATCCCTACAGGTATGTAAAAACTGAAAAGCTTGCTAAAAACTCCAGCTCTAGCCTCCTGAATCCTATCGGGCAAAGAGCCATCCATGTATACATGAATCCATTCCTCAGCTGGAAAACATTGCTCAATTGTTTCCAAAGCTATAGTTCTTATTTGCTCTGGACTCATTTCCTTTTTATCTACTTTCATTTCCAGGTTCAACTGCACATCAAGGAAGCTGTAATCCAAAGGATTTAGCAAAAACAGCAGTGCCGGTTTCAGTGTTCTTATATGATTGTATTGTTCTAGGTGAAAGACACACTGTAGAAAGCCATTTTGTGTCTTCAGATTTCGTTGTTTATTATAATCATAATTCCTCCAATGAGGGTTACTTGGTAGACAAATAAGTCTCTGGAAAAGGATGAAAGCATTTTTCTGAATCAGGTTTGTCACTGGTTGGTTTGCCAATAGCAACTGCATTGCTGGAATGGGAGTCATTTTAACAGTGCTGGTTATAATGCGCAGTGCCTGATTTTGGAAGACCTCCAGATGTATCACATCTCGCGTAGCCGAGATCAATATCTCACAGCAATAATTTAGTATTGGCCGAATATATATTTTATACGTCGAGTTGAGGGTCTCTGTACCACAACCCCATTTAACACCTGCTAAGTGTTTAAGGATAGGTAATCTACCCTCCGCCCTAGCAACTACATGCTCTGCATGCTTTCTCCAAGTTAAACGCTTGTCAAAAATATAGCCAAGATAGGTGGCACCATCCGTCTGCTGCAAAACCGACTTCTCATGCATTAGTCTAGGTGTAAAATGTTGTCTGTTGAGAGAGAAAAACTGACAAGTAGTCTTCCCCTGATTAACTCTCATATTATTAGCAGAACACCACTCCTCAAGTCTCTGGAGTGCAGAGTTTAAGATTCGGTTTAAACCATCTTGATCTTTTTTGTTAGCTCTGGCTCATACAACAAGATCATAGGCAAAATGGGCAGTGTTCACGATCCCATCTTATTCTAAGATGTCTGGTAGGTAGTTAATAAAAATATTAAAGAGAATAGGGCTAATAACTATGCCCTGAGGCAAATCCGTTTCAACTTGTTTATATTTTGAAGTGCTGGTCCCATAATGAGTAGCACAAAAACATTGGGTCTAGAAATTTTTTACCCAAAGGAAAATTTTTCCGCCAACACCGAATGTCTGAAGTTTTTGAACAGCCTTTAACCTTCAAACGTTATCATAAGCTGCTTGGAAATCTACGTAAACAGGCAGTACCGAATTTTGTTCATCAAGTGCATCTTTAATTGACTGGCTTAAGAATACAACTTGTTGACTTATAGAATGGTAATTTCTAAATCCCGCTTGTTTGGAAGATATTAAGCCATTGGTTTCCAAGTACCATTTAAGACAGGAAACAATCATTCTCTCCATTATCTTTGATAACACACTAGTTAAAACATTTGGTCTATAGTTGTCCAAATCCTGATGTGGTTTGTTCTTTTTTAAGAATTGGGATCAAGATGGCCTTTTTCCAGGCAGCAGGAACAGCCGAGTTTCAACTCTTATTATAGAGCTTCAGGAGGACCATTCAGGGTGTTTTTGCTTAAATTCTTTAAAAATTCAATATGAATGTTGTCTGGGCATGGACTTTTTTTACATTTCATTTGTCCAATAGCTCCCCGCAATTCAGAAATAGTAAAATCTCTGTTAAAAACCGAAGTTCCCCAAGGGCTAGAAGAAAATTTCTCGATAATTGTTTTCCTAAGGATCCTTTGGCTCTTCTTTAAATCGTTTTTTAAACGCTACCTTTTGCAATAAAATGAGTTAAAAGCATCCGCAATGACCAGATCATCCGTCAGTATTTTTGAACCTACTTTCATGGCTTCTCTTCCATGAACACTCTCCTCCTTTTTCTCTCCATTCACAAAATTATAAACCTTTTTTCCATCCTTTCTATAATCTATATTAGTAATGAAATCATTAAAGCATTTTTTCTTTGCCACAATAATTTCTTCTCTAAGGATTTCTTTTCTTCTCTATCTTTGGACGTCCTTGGGATTTTTTGTTTGTTCAGCAACGTTTCAGGATTCAATGGACATGCCCTTTAATTCAGTCAATCTATCATTCCAGAAAGCCTTGAACCTTAGTTGTTTACCTCTTGGTATCCACTTCTTTGTGGTTGTCAAAATTAATTCAGCAAAATAAGAGAATGCCTTGTCGATGCTTAGGGTTTAAAAACTTGGGTGGCTGGGAATATAGTCTCAATTTCTCAGCAAAAATGTTCCCACTTTGCCTTCTTAAAATTCCACCTGTTTCTCACTTTATTTACTAAAGAGTAAGAGGATTGTAATCCAAAACTGGTAATGATCATACGATGTCCAGAACCAGGATCATAAATGACTTCTCTTCTTGCATTCCCAGCTAAATCAACAGTGGCTAAAATCAGATCGGGATCTGTACCATTTCCATTATAATGAATATAAGAAGGAATATCCGTGTTCTGGTAGATTAGTTCCAGTCTGGCTGAGTTAATTAGGTCCTCCATTATCCTCCCAGAATGGTTAGAATCGTTATAATTCCAGAGGGAGCTATGAGCATTAAAATCTCCACAGAGGATAGTTTTATTAAGGAAGGAAAGTCCCTGGAATCTTAGTTTATTATTGTTCAGTGGGCTATAACAAGCATAAATAGTGAAATGTTTTTTTTTTTTTTTTGCTTCCAAACGTCGATTTGGACCACCTCAGCACCAATATGAGAGGATAAGTCACTGATAATATTGAATTTGGACGTCAAGTTCTTTTTAATACCAATCAAGATTCCACTAGCAATTCTTCTTGATTTAGGCAAGAGCTGTAGATAGTAGTTATCAAACGAATAGTATTTTATATCATCCGTAGACAAATTTGCCTCAAAAATAAGAAATACATCTATTTTGTCGATCATTTAATTCAGTCATAAGCTGTATTTTCTTTTCTTGGGAAAAACCACCCACATTTCTTTGGACAATCACTAAGCGTTGTTTGAAAAGGACAGTTTGGAGGATCTCTAGGAGCCATCAACAAGCGGCAAAGCTGTAGCAGATTTAGCGTAACCTAGGGTGCACTGAGAGGAGGCCTGCTACACCCCACCTTTAAATATTGTAAGAACACAATTCTCTGATTTATATAGCAGAGTGGAAAAATGAGGCACGTTATCTTTCGTTTGTTTAGCTGATTTGGGTAGTTCTCTTTTGTTTCATCTAATAGTACCAACTAGAGTTGTTTTTTTTGGCCAATAATTTTATCGCGAGTGACATTATAGAGGAAAAGTTATCGGTCGTGATATTTCTTCCACAGCTTGTATATAGCTCAACAAGTTTCAGAACAACGTGTTCACTGAGATTCGAATAACAAGTACTGCTTTAGCTTATTGAGAAACTGCAAGTTATCAAGTATACGCCCAAATCGACAATTTATCATGTACTCGTATGTTATCATGTGACGGTAATCGAAAAAATTGAAAACTGTTATTTCAATACAGAGCCAAACTGGTCATATAAGAAATTTACTCAATTGAATAATAAGAGTCATTTGATTATTTAAAATTTCCCAAGCAGTCAAAATCACTGTTTTTTTGCAATATAAGTATAACACATATACCAGAAATGAAAGAAGGGGGGGGTAACTACAATTATTAATAAACGCATTTATATGTTGTACAAAAAGTCACAAAATTCTAAGAAATTGTGTCATTATATACATAATTGTTTTTATAATTGAAATTAAAAAGCAGTCAAAATGACTTCCTTGAGTAATCTAGTGTTAAAGTCAAGAAACAGGTGGTAGGAGTCGATGTTATATTCTTTAGTTCTTTCCAAGATTTGTCTAATAGAATGCTGATCAGTTGTTTTTCCCATCTGGAATCCACACTGGTAATTCTCAATAACATTAGAAGCATATGTAAGCAATTATTTATACAAAATAATTGAGACGATTTTACATGCCGAATCCAGTAAGGTAATTCCTCTGTAATTACAGCATTGTAGCTTGTCTTCTTTTTTATAAATAGGACAAAAAACAGATCTTTAATCCTACTCAGTGAGCATTTGTTCCTTTGTCCCTATACAACAAATTAGATAATGGATTGCTTTATGTAAATTCATTTCATTGATATTTCAAAGGTCCATCCTTGATGCCATCTGGTCCAGCTGATTTATTATTATTTAACTTTTTCATTATCAATTAACATCTTATAGAGTTGGTGGATTGTGCTCCGTAACCTCACAACTCATAGTGGGTAGCATGTTATAAGTAGTTATCTCCTCTCCTCTATCTGTACCCAAAAGCAGACCCTTAAAATACTCATGCCAACAAAGCAGGAACTCCTCCATGTCTTTGGTGATTTCGCCATTTTTTTCCTTACAAGTTATTGTTCTGGGATTAAAATCAGTTCTGACTTTATTTATCAGCTGATAAAATTTCCTAGCTTCTTTTTGTGTTTTCAGATTTTCAGTATCTCTGTAAACTTTATCCAGGTACTTTTTCTTTTTATGAATTCTCTTCTTAATTCCATATACCTTTCCTCTGTATTTCTAGTGTAATGTCTTTGAATCATTAGTCTATATGCCTCATTCTTCCTTTTTGTAATCTTGCTGCATTCCTCATCAAACCAGTGATTGCATTTGTTTTCCCGGTACTCCGTTATTGTATTCTCAGCTGCTTCAGCAATAAGTTTCTTTAGATTTTGCCAAGCATTCTTAGCTGTCGGAGGTTTCTCCCACTTGTCGACCATTCATTCTATAGTTCTCTCCTATACTTCCCAGTTCTCTTCAGATATTCAGTATCAAGCTTTTTAGATTTTTGTTCTCTCCTTTTATTATAAGATCTTTTGATCTTATAACACAATTTAAAATAATTAGAAAGTGGTCAGAGAAAAGATAAATTATTTTCCACATATTTCTTATTGGAAAAGTTCACTTAGTATACCTATAGTTTGGTGCAAGTCCAAAGATCTGGAACGAATTAATGATCAAGGTATCACTGTATGTAATTTTTTGTATATAGTTATTTCACGAATTAATTATATAGGAATAAAATTATTTTTTAGTGAAAGAAGGAGTGTTATGTCTAATAGGAATTATAGCACATAATTATCCAGAAGATTTCATTCCTTATCAGGGAAGAGTATTATCAGTGTTTCTGCAGGAGCTCAACTACCAAGTATGCACTTCTTTTACTATCTTTGATTCAGAAAAACTTTACACTTTGTTTAACATTTAAGCCATTAAAAAATTTATTATTATGTGCCATTCTAATTGCTGAGGTAATAAACATTTTGAATATCAAATTGTTTAAAATTAATCTCCCTCCCCCCCGGTTTGTGAATGATTTTTCAGAAGTCCTCTAAAAGAATTTTTGTTATACAGCGTGTTTCAAAAAGAATATACGCATTTCAAATGCATGTATTTATTAAACTGTATGACATACGAATATGAAACTTTATACACATATGTACAAACTTCTCAAGTTCACATTACAGATGTTCAATATGTCTGCCCTCCATCAGCGATATGAACAATATCACATCGATACTCAAATTCTTCCTATACTCGGGCAAGCACGTCCGTCGTCACAGATGTACGGATTCGGTTCTTCACCTCTTCCAGTTTCTGTGGGAGTGATGGTACATAAACGTTGTCTTTAATGAAACCCCCCAGGAAGAAGTCACAGGGTGTCTGGTTCACAGACAGTGCGGATCCGGTTCTTCACCTCTTCCAGGTTCTGGGGGAGTGATGGTACATAAACGTTGTCTTTAATGAAACCCCACAGGGAGAAGTCACAGAGTGTCAAATCCGGTGGTCACGGAGGCCAGCTGAGACATGCCAAGTCCTTAAC